GGAAGTGCCATAGGGCCATGCCTGTATTTTGTTCATCTCTAGACCCAATAACTAAGAAGTACTTGGAAAGTACCTCTGCAAGATAAACGATCAAGTCCTGAAGTGCACTTGAGGGGTCATCACTACCTTATCACCAGTTCCAATCACGGGGGTGAGCAGTTGAATGAGTTTTGTTTTCACTATTTTTTTTTTTTGAGATGGAGTCTCGCTCTTGTTACCCAGGCTGGAGTGTAATGGCACGATCTCGGCTCACCGCAACCTCCGCCTCCTGGGTTCAGGCAATTCTCCTGCCTCAGCCTCCTGAGTAGCTGGGATTACAGGCACATGCCACCATGCCCAGCTAATTTTTTGTAGTTTTAGTAGAGACAGGGTTTCACCATGTTGACCAGGATGGTCTCGATCTTTTGACCTCGTGATCCACCCGCCTCGGCCTCCCAAAGTGCTGGGATTACAGGCGTGAGCCACCGCGCCCGGCCCTGTTTTCACTATTTACCGGTTGAAACATTCCTTAATTTAAGAAAAGGCTGAGTGCAGTGGCTCACACCTGTAATCTCAGCACTTTGGGAGGACCAGGCAGGCAGATCACGAGGTCAGGAGATTGAGACCACTCTGGCCAACATGATGAAACCCCATCTCTATTAAAAATTAGCTGGGTGTTGGTGGCACGCACCTATAATCCCTGCTACTCAGGAAGCTGAGGCAGGAGAATCACTTGAATCTACGAGGTGGGGGTTGCAGTGAGCCGAAATCACACCACCGCACTCCAGCTTGGCAACAGCGAAACTGTCTCAAAATAAGTAAATAAATAAAAATAAAATTAAGAAAAAAGGCCAGGTGTGGTGCCTAACACCTATAATCCCAGCACTTTGGGAGGCCGAGGTGGGCAGATCACTTGAGGCCAGGAATTTGAGACCAGTCTGGGCAACATGGTGAAAACCCATCTCTACTAAAAATATAAAAATAAGCCAGACAGTCCAGGCACAGTGGCTCACACTGGTAATCCCAGCACTTTGGGAGGCCAAGGTGGGAAGATCACCTGAGGTCAGGAGTTTGACAGCAGCCTCATCTCTACTAAAAAAACAAAAATTAGCCGAGCGTAGTGGTGGGCACCCATAATTCCAGTTACAGGGGAGGCTGAGGCAGGAGAATCACTCAAACCTGGGAGGCAGAGGTTGCAGCCAACTGAGATCATGCCATTGCACTCCAGCCTGGACAACAGAGTAAGACTCTGCCTCAAAAGAAAAGAAAGGCCGGGCGCAGTGGCTCATGCCTGTAATCCAAGCACTTTGGAGGCCAAGGTGGCCTGAGGTCAGGAGTTCAAGACCAGCCTGACCAACATGGCGAAACCCCGTCTTTAAAAAAAAAAAAAAAAAGAAAAGAAAAGAAAAAGGCCAGCTGAGCACGCGGTGGCTCACACCTGCAATCCCAACACTTTGGGAGGCGGAGGCAAGAGGCTCCTTTGAGCCCAGGAGTTCGTGAGCAGCCTAAGCAACATAGGGAGACCCTGTTTCTATATAAAAATGAAAAAATAGGCCGGGCGCGGTGGCTCACGCCTATAATCCTAGCACTTTGGGAGGCCGAGGCGGGTGGATCACGAGGTCAAGAGATCGAGACCATCCTGGTCAACATGGTGAAACCCCGTCTCCACTAAAAATACAAAAAAATCAGCTGGGCGTGGTGGCATGTGCCTGTAATCCCAGCTGCTCAGGAGGCTGAGGCAGGAGAATTGCCTGAACCCAGGAGGCGGAGGTTGCGGTGAGCCGAGATGGCGCCATTGCACTCCAGCCTGGGTAACAAGAGCGAAACTCCGTCTCAAAAAAAAAAAAAAAGAAAAAATAAATTAAAAAAAAATAAAATTAAGAAAAAGGCCACTTCTCTAATATGCAGGGAATAAAATGCTGAATGGATTTTCAAAAACTTGGGAGTGATGACTGGCAAGGATGCTGACACCAAGCAAAGCAAGGCTCGGCAGAGATCAACAAGCACCCCTATCACAAGTGAATCTTGACAAATGAATGTAACCAGGATGGCTAAAATGAGCTCCCAGAAGGGAGGGCTCTTGGGCTCAACTTAAGAGCTGTTTTGAGAAAATGCAAAACCTGATCTTTGACTCTTAAACAGAGGCAAACTAAGGGAAACAGATGAGAGCAAAGGTGGTGTTAAGAACTTTGCAAAAAGGATTGTTTAATGACACAGCAGATCTGTCTTCTCCTCAGTGCTCAAGGCAAGGCTGACAAGGGCTGCCTAGGGGAATTTCTGGCTGGCTAAAGATTAAGTCCCCTTCCAACTCAGATTTCTGCCCAAAGATGGTAAACATACAGTAGTCTCTGCCCTTATCACTGCTTTCAGTTATCCACTGTCAACCTTGGTCTGATTGTTATTTTCTACTTTTTTTTGAGACAGTCTCCCTCTATCACCCAGGCTGGAGTACAGTGGCACGATCTCAGCTCACTGTAACTCCCGCATCCCAGATTTAAGCGATTCTCCTGCCTCAGCCTCCCAAATAGTTGGGATTACGGATGCTCACCACCACACCCAAGTAATTTTTGTATTTTGAGTAGAGATGGCATCTCATCATGTTGGCCAAGCTGATTTCGAACTCCTACTATCTCAAATAATCTACTTTACTCAGCCTCCCAAAGTATGGGATTACAGGCATGAGCCACTGCGCCCAGCTGGGATTTTCTATTTAACAGTTCACATTTTAAGTTGAGCACTGTTCTGATAGTGTGATGAAATCTTTTGCCATCCTGCCAGAACGTGAACAAGGCTTTTGCCTGTTATTCACTTTAGTAGCCATGCTGGTTATCAGATCGACCGTCACAGTACTGCAGTGATTGTGTTCAAGTAACACTTACTCACTCAGTAATGCCCCAAAGCACAAGAGTATTGTGCCTAACTTAGAAACTAAACCTCATCATAGATAGTACACATAAGGTTCAGTACTACAGGAATCCACTGGGGATCCCTGAACACATCCCCCACAGGTACAGGGGGACTGTTGTACAATCTGCAGTCCTTCCAGAAAGCATCAAAATGAACTACTCGGCCAGGCATGGTACCTCACACCTGTAATCCTCAGCACTTTGGGAAGCCAAGGTGGGAGGACAGCTTGCGCCCAGGAGTTCAAGACCAGCCTGGCCAACATGAGATTCCCATCTCTTAAAAAAAAAAAAATGAAATACTCAGTAATACTTATATTTCACAGTAAAGACCTGTCTCTCCACCTGTACTTCAAACACCCTGAGCCCAGCTGAAGGCTTGCCGCTCCTGCACAACCCCCATGCCCATCTGCTGAGTGCTCTTGGGACCCCAACCCTGGCCATTTTTAGCAGCCAAGTGGTTACCACGTAAGTTTTTTTTTTTTTTTAACCTCTTAGAATACTCCCTTCTCCCCTCCCCACCACGTATACCTGTTAACAAGTTCCATATCTGCATACCCTGGGGCTCTTCCCCAATACTGTAGCCTTCACTCTTCCTCTCCTGGTCTCTGTCAGCTTTCTCTAGCTTTGGTAAGAGTTAAAACACCCCTACCACTGAGCACCAGCCCTTAAAATCCTGGAAAAGTGCTATCACCTCCATTTTATAGACAAGGAGACCAAGGTCAGATCTCTCAGAGAATTCTCAATAACCTCCTTGAAAAACTACCTCCTTTTATCCTATGGTTAAAAAATAATAAAATTAAAAAAAAAAAAAAAAAAAAAGAAGAAAAACTACCTCCTCTGAAGCCTGTGGTCATTTCCACATCCCATGCTTCAATCTTCTTGTCCCATCCATAATGCCTAATTTGACTCCTGCTCCCCAGTAAACCCAGTTCCCGAACAATCCTCTCTCCTCTTAACACCTTCACCTTTACAACTCTCACCTACACACTTAGCTGCACACCAATCAGGCCTTGAATTCCAATGACCATAAACATTCAGCCTTCAACATAAAGAAGTGCATGTAATTTATGAGGTACTCGTATGAGAAATAAACTTAAGGCCAGGCGCAGTGGCCACGCCTGTAATCCCAGCACTTTGGGAAACCAAGACTGGTGAACCACCTGAGGTCAGGAGTTTGAGACAAGCCTGGCCAACATGATGAAGCCCCGTCTCTACTAAAAATACAAAAATTAGCCAGGCATGGTGGCAAGGACCTGTAATCCCAGCTACTCAGGAGGCTGAGGCAGAACTGTTTGAACCTAGGAGACAGAAGTTGCAGTGAGCCGAGATCGCGCCATTGCACTCCAGCCTGGGCAACAAGAGTGAAACTCCGTCTCAAAAAAAAAAAAAAAAAAAAAAGAAATGAAACTTTAAATTACACCTTGAGATGACGCCAAGATGAGAAAACAGTCACTGGGCAGCTGGGTCAGCTATCTATGCAGCAGTTCCAGAGCCAGCCAGGGGCAGCATCCTCCGGGACTGTGCCACTGCACTGTGCCAATCTTGAGAAGGGGACTCCTATCTCACGTCCTTTTAGCCATCCAGTAATCTAGAAACTGTCATCAACTACACAACTTCACATGAAGTCTGGAACCCACCTTCAAATCAATGGCACAGGAGTCTCATCTGGCTCCCTATCACCCTAGGTTTCAAAAACAGGCCGCATTTTTTTTTTTTTTTTTTGAGACAGTCTTGCTCTGTTGCCAGGCAGGAGTGCAGTGATGCGATCTCCACTCGCTGCAACCCCTGCCTCCTGGATTCAAGTGATTCTTCTGCCTCAGCCTCCCAAGTAGCTGGGACTAGAGGCACACATCACCATGCCCAGCTAACTTTTGTATTTTTAGTAGAGATGAGGTTTCACAATGTTGGCCAGGATGGTCTCTCTTGACCTCACTATCTGTCTGCTTTGGCCTCCCAAAATGCTGGGATTACAGGCGTGAGCCACCGTTCCCGGCCACTGGCCACAAATTTTACAAGGTGGTGAAGGAACGGGTGACAATGCAGCACCTACCAATGTCACATAAGACTGACAGCTGTCATCCCACTCTAGTCTCCAAGGAGGAAACTCGAGGCAGGTTAAGTTAGTTTAAAATTTTATTTTTTTTATTTATTTTTTAATATTTTTATGTAATAAAAAGTAAAAGTCCTTGTCCAGCCATCCTCGTGGGGCATCTGTCTGTCTCTCACACAGGTCACTCAAGTTAATGGGAAAGAAAGAACAGGGGGCCCAAGTCTGAAGTTATAAATAATAGAAAATAAAAGATCTTCCGTCTCCAGCGGGGAAATAGATGAGAGGATGGGAGGGCAAGACTGGGTGGGGACGGGCAGGGGCAGAGCAGGAACCCCCCACCCCTGCTGGACCCTGGCCCTGCCCTCTGTGAGGCCCCTCCCATTCAAGGTGCTTGGCAGGAATTCCCCAGCTCCCCTGGGGAAAGGGGGGATGAGGGGGCTGGGAGTGGTCCGAGCTGCTGGGGGAAGAGACATAGATCACTCTTCCCTCCACTCATGGAGGTCTCAGGTCGCGGCCAGGACAATCTTCAGTTCCCCGGGGGGTGGAAGGGGAGCTGCTGGGAGGGATGAGATTGAACTGGTTGGAGGGGAAAGAGAAGAGAGCAGGAGCATTAGAACCCAAGCAGCTGTCCCTTCCTCCAATGCCGTCCAGTAGGGGTGTGGGGGTGTGTCTGGGAAGGAGCGGCCTCCTCAAGGTGTCTCAGGGGCTGTCAGAAGCACAGGTCAATCGCTGTTTCCCAGTAAGCCAGAGCCCTCACTTGTGTGCCCAGCTCAGCCCCCCACACCCCAGTCTGGCCCTGTCTGCTGCACTGACCTTACCTCGGCTAAGTCAGGAGACAGTCGGGGTCACTGAGAGCTGGGGAGGCAGTGGGGAGGGGGGCTGCTGGATCACAACTGAGCGAGGACGGAGGGAAGCAAAGGACAGAGCCAGGAGCAAGCCCCTGGCGGCGGCGACTGTGGCTTCTGCCCACCCTACATACTTCACAGACAGGTGCAGGTCGGCAGGCGCCCTGTGGGACAGCCCTGCCTCCAAGACCCCTCACTCCCCACCCAGAACCCGTGCATCCTGCCCCACCTGCAGCCCCTCAGCTCTTCCATGCCAAATTCCCCCAGCTAATGAGAACTCACGAATCCTGTCATCGGCTCCTCCTGGAAATCCAGGCGCCTGGCCAGGCTGCTCACCTTGGGGGTGTCCGATGTAGGGGTAGGGTGAGGGTGTGGAAGCTGAGAGTGCAGGCACCCCACTCTGGGGCACCGCGCCTTGGGGGGGGCCCCCCATGACTCTGGGGTGGGTGCAGCAGCATCACCTGGGGCGGGTGGGGAGCCCCAGGGTGAGGGGGCGGGGCTGCTGTGATTCCAGTTTGGACATGGGCCTGTGGAGAACAAAAAAAGTAGCCAGGAGGACCACAGAATCCTGAGACGGACTCTGAGAGCCAGAGTCAGGGAGCACTATGGCAAGGTAGAACCAGGGACTTGGGAGTGGGATGGCCCCATAGCAGACAGGCCCTGGCAAACAGACCCAGAAGCAGTGGGTTGGCTGGGCTCTTACCTGGGTAACATGGGCCATGTTGGTGAAGCCGTGGGGCAGCTGCTGGTGGTGGATGGCATACACAGCGGCTGGCTGGGGGAAGCTGCTCTGAGGGGACTGGGCAGAAGGTCCCGGTGGCAGAGAGGGCGGTGTGCCTGTCAGGGCCCCTGGGTGGTACAGATTCTGCTGTGGCTGTCCACTGCCCAGGTGTGGGGCCTGCCCCGCCTGATGCTGTCAGGGGAAGGGAAGGTTGAGTGCCACCCAAGCCAGTTACTTGCTGGCCCCTGGTCCTTGACACTGAGAAATGCCTCTAGCTCTATCCCACTCTCCCAATCCCCCACTCCTGCCCTGACCACTCGGCACCCCCAACGGCAGGCACCTGGACAGGACTGGGGGCCGCATGCTGGGACTGCGGCTGGCTCCCGGTAGGTGTGGTAGCTGGCTGCGGCTGGTGGGCATGGAGCTGCGTGGCATGGTGTGGGTAGGACTGGTGAACAGTGGCTGCAGCAGGAAAGAGGGAAAACCAGTGCTGAACACACCAGAGAGTGTCAGCGCACAGCCCAGAACAGAAGGGCCAGGCGCAGCAGGACTCACCATAAAGGGCTTGGGGGGTGGGCTGCTCCGCAGAAGGGTACTGAGGGGTGGAGGATGACACGATGGCCTGGGGATGGCTGCCCGACGTCAGCATGCGTGGGTTGCTTTGAAGCATGGGGGCAAACACCGGCTGGCAGGACAGAGAGGGGAGTGGTTGGCACAGCCAGCTAGGAACGTGTCCTCCTGCCAGTCACTGCTTGCATAGCACTGCTCAGGCCTCCTCACAATCACCCTATTGATTCGACATTCACAACAATCCCATCCAGCAGACACTACTTCCGCTACACTTCAGAGATACAGATATCTGATGCCTTGTTACAGGTGCCAACAAAGCCGGGGTTCAAGCCCGAGTGAGACACCGCCAATCCCACAGCTGGCCAGTCCCATCCACAACGCTGCCTGCCACCCCTAGCCAGCTCCCGAGTCTCTGGAGATGGGATCCCTAGCAGGGGCCCTGGATCCTCACTGCCCTCCTGGGCCAGTCACCTGTGAGGGGTAGTGGGCCATGGGCTGCATCATGGCAGGCTGGCCTGGGAATTGCTGAGGGTTGTAGGGGATGTAGGAAGAATAGGGCGTAGCAGCCACCAGAGGCGGGCCAGCAGCCGCGGCCGCCTGCATCATCGGCGGGGCTGAGGCTGGCTGGTGTTGGTCCGAGCGCTGCGGGGGTAGGGAGCCTGGAGGAGAGGGAAGAGAGCAGAGCTCAAGCTCCACCTGCCACTAGGCCCTTAGCAGCCTCACCGCCTGCCCCTCCCAGCCCTGCTCACCTTTTGCTCCCCGGTACTTGCCCTGCTGCCCAGGCACTGAATTAGATACAGGATACGGATACATCTGAGGTGCCTAGGAATGAAGACACAGATGAGGCTGAATGACTTGCTCACAAATGCCCAGAACAGCCCCACCAAATCCCACCCCACTAACCCTGGGCCTGGTCAATCTCTCCGCCTACCTGCACAGCTGGTCCCATGTGGATCTGAGGTATGTAGGAGATGTACTGGGGGCTATATAGCCCACTCTGGCCTGCTGTCAGCACCGGGATGGAGGGAGTTGAATGAGTCCGGGGCCCCGGAGAAGTTGGAGTACTAGTGGATTTATTCTGCAAAAAACAAGAGAAGACAATTTTATTTCATATCTTCCCTTCTACTCCTGGCTATGCCTAGAGTAGCAATAGCTAGCATCCATGAAATGCTGGGTACCAAACACATTCTGCACTGATCTTGGTTAAGCCTTGCATTAAATCTTGAGAGATGAGCATTCTCAAATTACAGGTGAGACAGAGAATTTAAGTGATGTCCAAGATCACAAACCTTCCAAATACAAGGGCTCAGGCCAAGTCAGCTGGCCCAAACAGAGCTTTTGTTCATGACTACCCCACTCTTAATACTCAAGCCAAATGCCAAGAACCAAAGAAAAACCCATTAACGCCTCATCAGACTCACTAGGATCTCTGGTCACCCAACCCCGGAGAACTGAGTCCACTTTCCCCAAGCCAGCCCCAAAGTTGCCATCCTTACATTTTTATGGCATCTCCTCACACTGCCTGCTGGTCAAGTGGTCCTTGAAGTGAAGCACTCCCCTATTCATCTATAAGCCCTGTCCAAGTCTCCCCACAGAAACCAAAGTCCACATTCTCCCATCCCAGCTCACCACAGACAGCAGAGGCTTTGTAGGATTGAACTCCTTGGCATTGGGATTCAACGTTGATTTCTTCACTTGTCTGTGGAAGAAAGTACAGTAAATCTTCACGGCTTGCTTTCGTCCCTCCTGCCATCCTCCCAGCGCCCCACTGTGATCCACTCACTCAGCAACAGGCCCCTCATCCTTGTCCTCCCCCTTGATGAGGCCCACTGGGGGGCTGCCGGTTTGGCTTGGGCAAGGTGGTGGGGGCTGCTCTGGCCCCTCAGTGCCTCCTGCTGGTGCCAGGGATGGTTTGTCCTCCTTATCCGACACGGACTCCATCTTGGAGGAGACAGGAGACCCCATGGACTCTGAAGTCAAGAGACCATCAACCTCCTTCTCTTTTCCTTTGGCCTCCTCCTTTAAGATCCGGGGAGGAAAAGGATCCAGGCTGTTCTCCGGTGAGCTACTGGGCTGAAGCTGGAAGGGAGAAATATATACATAGTCTGCCCTAGATCCTAGGCCCTGCTTTCTTCTTTCATCCTTGATTTCATCTTTTTGACCCCTACCTAGTCCTCTGCCTCATCTATGAAGCACCCCTAACTCCTTTAACCTGCCAATATCCCAGCTCATTTCCACAGTTCTCTCACCTTAAACTGGGCCCCAAACTTTCTCAGTTCTTCCAGTTGGAATCGTTTCTGTTCATTCTGAAGACCAGGGACTATGAGAAAACAGTGAAAAAGAAGAAAATACAATACATTCTTTCTCTAATGTGACTACACAGTGCCAGGAGAATAGAGGACAAGTAAGCAAAGAAAAAAGGAGAAACTCCTGAGAATCACAGAAGTGAAATTGTGATCCAAGGGCTGATAAACATTGTTTGCCTCTGAATTCCAACAAACTTCTTAACTAAAATACTCTCTCCCAGACAAAGGAGCATTAGTCCTCAGCAGAAAAAAAAAACACCCTCACCTTTCCCAGCTATCCGAGCCAGCTCCTGGGGCTCCAGAGTTCTCCCAGGTTCCTTGGTAGAGAGTTCTTTTACTATGCAAGGAGAGAGAAATGTCCAAAAGTCCTTCTGTCCAGAACCACGTATCATACTCAACATGCATCCACAGCACTCAAACACCTAGCTCTTACCATCTGTGGGGGCCAGGGAGATCTTTGGAGAAGCTGGGGAAATGGAACCCACTCCAGGATCTGAGACTGATGAGGTCACAGGAATGGAGGCTGAAGAGGTTGGCACTGCCGAGCCGATGGGAGGCTCAGGACAGGAAGCTGAGATTGGGGCAGGTGCAGCAGACTTGGGAGAGCGCGGGGGATACATCCGGCCCACTGGAAGAAAAGGGGGAGCTGTAGGATGGTTACTACTGGTCAACAGTAGTAAGTACAAGGGCCGTACTCAAATCAGCAAGAAAGTTTACACACTATACACCTAGGGTCACCAACTTAAACGTATAGAAGGCCAAAGCAGATAACATAAGCAGGTAAATGGCCTGGTAGGCATCATCAGTGACTAGAATGCTTTTTGTTTTTTTTAGACAGCGTTTCACTCTTGTTGCAAAGACTGGAGTATAATGGCAAGATCTTGGCTCACTGTGACCTCCGCCTCCCAGGTTCAAGTAATTCTCCTGCCTCAACTTCCCTAGTAGCTGGGATTATAGGTGGCTACCACCGCACCCAGCTAATTACGTGTTTGTTTTTTTTTTTGGTAGAGACGTGGTTTCGCCACGTTGGTCAGGCTGGTCTCCTGACCTCAGGTGATCCACTCCACCCCACTGACTGGAATGCTTAAGGGGGTAGGTGGGATACTGTCCCAGTCAACTCGAGCTATGCAGCAAGGCAAGCTCAGTTGACAGAACTTCCCGTAATTCAAAAGAAACTAAAAATTTTCTGGTTTCTATTATTTTGTTTACTTATTTAGAGACACGGTCTTGCTCTGTTCCCCAGACTGGAGTGCAGCCTCCTAGGCTCAGCGATCCTCCCACCTCAGCCTCTCAAGTAGCTGAGAGTGCTAATCTCTGAGAGGACTCAGGTGCATACCATCACGCCCAGCTAATTTTTAAATTTTTTGCAGAGACGGAGTTTTGCCATGTTGCCCAAGTTGGTCTTGAACTCCTGGGCTCAGGCAATCTGCCTACCTTGGCCTGTTTTAAAAACTGAGCAAATAGCCAGGTGGATCACAAGGTCAGGAGTTCGAGACCAGTCTGGCCAACATAGTAAAATCCTGTCTCTACTAAATAACAAAAAAAATGAGCCAGGTGTGGTGGCAGGCACCTGTAATTCCAGCTACTGGGGAGGCTCAGGCAAGAGAATCGCTTAAAGGGAGTCAGAGGTTGCAGTGAGCTGGTGCCACTGCACTTCATACTGGGCAACAATGTGAGATTCTATCGCACACAAAGTCAGCAACTGATTCAAATCTCAAAAGATGTCTGCCAAGCAGACACAACCCATGGATTGCTAGGTTGAGATTTCTGCACCAGGGAAACTGAAGATTTCTTTCCCAATATGACTAAATCCCAAACTCCCAAAACATCTATCTTAAAATCATCTCCCATTCCACCATTGTAACAACTGACATATTTATCAATTTATAAAATCGATGAAATTTATCAGTTTCTATCCATTTCTTCATCCGACACTACTGAAGCTTTACCTGCAGGAGGTGGTGGAGCAGAAGTTTCTCCAGAAGGCCTATTACTGGGCGAAGACAGAGTCTTGGCACCTCTCAGAGGCCGCTGCGCCTTTGGAGACATGCGGGAAGGGCCTGTTTTTTTTAAGATGAAGAAAATGTCAGAAGAGGCAGACAACCTGCTACATTACATTCCCACCAATGCAGCATCATTGCAACCCACCGAAACCCCTGCAATTACCCTCCCAACCCCCTCAGCATCCCCTTCCCTGCCCCACCAAGTTTACCTTGTAACTCACCTCCATTGATACCACGGGCCTCAGAACCTGGGCCAGGGCTACTATTGTCCAGATGGTGAGGGCCACGAGGTGGCAAAGAGCTAAGGCCAGGCCGCCCGCCCCGAGAGCTGCTGCATCGAACTCCTCCCCGGGGTCCTTCCCGGACTCGTTGAGGCAGAGGGATATACTTCCCCTCCCTGAGGGAAGAGTTCAAATAAGGCCAGGTAGCCACAAAACCCACGTTTTGGAAAGACGAAGCCATTTCTTCTAAAGTCTCCCACTTCTGACCCAAACATACACACTGCCTGGCTCTAGCAATATCCCACTTGAAGATCTGCCCTAGTTAAATGTTCTGTGGCTTATGATCTTATGTGACATCAACTGTTGAGCCAACCAGCCTGGCCAGTGCTCCATAATTCTACAACTCCTGACCTATAACAAAGGTAAGATCACACTGTAGTTCCAGGGGGAGCTTCTATAAGACACACATAACGTAGTTATATTTCACTTTTATAAAAAGAAATAGCACATATACATAAATGAATACAAAAAAAAAAAAGCGAAAGTAAACCAAAGTTCCGAAATGTTTCTTTTCCTAGATCTACAAGCTTCATTCAGCCTTGTTACTTTGGGCCAATTATACAACCTTGCAGAACTTCAACCCTAAACCTATGTATGACATTTCACATGGTCTTGAGGCTTAAACTACAGCACACATCCATTAACTCTGGGCCCAGGCCTCAGGACAGTCCCAGCTGTTCGTGACAGTCACCTGGACGCCAAGCTGGGGCTCTCCCGCCCTGAACCCTGCCGCTGCACTGCACTGTGCTTCTCCTCTTCAGTGCGCCCATCATCATTCTCCATGGCGATCCGTAGGCGGTACTGGGGGCTTGATTCAATCTCTCGAGCTAACTGGGCCGCACGTAGCTCTCGCTGACGAAACTCTTCTGAGTTGTCCTTTTCTAAGGGCACCCTGAGACAGCACCCACAGACCACCACCATCCCAGTGCCAGGGGACAAAGAGGAAAAAAGGAAAAACATTTCAACCAGTTCGATCAACAGTTGAGGCACCTAAGTATTTAATCCTCTCAACTCAGTATCTGGGTTTAACAGGCACCTATTGCGTCTCAGGTAGCCTTATCTGTAAATGTGAGGAACACTTAGATGCTTAAAACCTTTGGCCAGGCGCAGTGGCTCATGCCTGTAATCCCACTTTGGGAGGCCAAGGCAGGTGGATGAGGCCAGGAGTTCGAGATCAGCTTGGCCAATGTGGTAAAACCCCGTCTCTACTAAAAATACAAAAAAATTAGCCAGGCATGGTGGCAGGCATTTGTAATCCCAGCTACTCAGGAGCCTGAGGCAGGAAAACTGCTTGAACCCGGGAGACGGAGGTTGAAGTGAGCCGAGACCATGCCACTGCACTCCAGGCCTGGGTGACAGAGCGAGACTCCATCTCAAACAAACAAATAAAAAACATCTGAGGGAACAGTTCCACAAGGCAGAGCAGGAACAGGAACAGCAACCCTGGACACCCAGGGAAGAATGAACAAAGTTCTACCTGGAAACCTGTCTTCTCTTAGTAATCCCACATCCCCAACACATCACCTGGAAAGCACCAAGACACTCACGTGTAAGAAGAAAGACTGCTATCATAGGTGGTCTTCACACCGTAGTTCTCTTCATTGAACTTGAACATTTCATTGGGGTCCCATCCATTGGACTGGGGAAGAAGAAAGGAGGCTTTAAAATCCAGCAAGTAAAGCAATGATGACAAGTCACTTTCCTTCCATCAGGTTAAAAACTCTAAAATGTGACCAAATTGGCTGGGCACAGCGGCTGAAACCTGTAAAAGCCGAGGCAAGAGGATCTCCTAGGCCAGGAGTTCAAGGCCAGCCTGGGCAGCATAGCAAGAGCCCATCTCTACAAAAAAATAACATAACAGCCAGGTGGGGTGGTACATGCCTGGGGTCCTAGCTACTCGCTACTCAGGAGACTGAGAAGAGAGGACCACTTAATCCCAGGAGTTTGAGGCTGCAGTGAACTCTTATGGCACCACTGCACTTGGGCCTAGGCGACTGGCTGGACCTGTAATCCCAGCAGTTTGGGAGGTGGGCGGATCACCTGAGGTCAGGAGTTTGAGGCCAACCTGGCCAATATGGTGAAACCCCATCTCTACTAAAAATAGAAAAATTAGCCATCCATGGTGGCGTGTGCTTGCAGTACTGTCTGAGGCTGGAAAATCACTTGAATCTGGGAGGCAGAGGTTGCAGTAAGCTGAGAATCAAGCCACTGCACTCCAGCCTCCAGCCTGAGCGACAGAGTGAGACCCTGTCTCAATAAAAAAAGAAAAAAAGCGCCCATCTCAAAAATAAGTGACCAAACCAAGAATGAAAAAAAATAGGAATGTGGCTGGCGAAAGTAATCAACTAATAATTGTAATTACTAACTGCAATTGTTACTAACTACTAACAACTACAGCACAAATTAGCAATAACTAGTAAAACTGAAAAGTCTTAAGACCTAAAAATTCTATTTCTAAGATATCCCAGTGAAATTCTGGCACATGTGTGTGGTGAATACGCATTGTAAAAGTCCAGCAAGATACTACAGCTAGTAGCAAAATAATGGCAAAATGCAGATAAGAATACAATTTGCTGTGCATACATACGTGTGTAAATATAAAGACAATACACAACAATAGAAACAAAGAACTAGATCCACGAAAAGCCAATTTTTGTACAAACTAAACATAACAAAACAATAATGTATTTATTCACAAAACATTTGTTTCTCAATAGATGGTCTCACTATGATTCCCAGGCTGAAGCACAGTGGTCGTTCGCAAGTTCAATCATAGTGCACCTCAGCCTCCTGAGTATCTGGGACTACAGTTGTGTACCACCATGCTCAGCTCTATTCATGAGGTTTTTTTGTTTTTTGAGACAGCCTCACTCTGTCGCTCAGACTGGAGTCCAGTGGCACAATCTCAGCTCACTGTAGCCTGAAACTCCTGGGCTGAAGTTATCCTCCTGCCTTGGCCTCCCAAGTAGCTGGGACTTACAGGCATGAGCTCACTACACTCAGCCTCATGAGAGATTTTAAACACCTCAGAGTAGCTGATTTGGGAAAGAGAAATGGACCTATACAATAATCTATACTTTTTGTTATGCTGAAAAATAACTTGATGCAAATGTTAGCAGTTGTTAATTATAGATAATAAGGTGGGTGTTTTTGTGTATGTGTGACAGGGTTGGGCCAGGCTGGAGTGCAGGTGCTGTGACCACAGCTCACTGTAACCTTGACCCTTCCCAGGCTCAATTGATCCTCCCACCTCAGCTTCCCAAGTAGCTAGGACTATAGGTACATGCGACCATACCTTGCTAGCTTTTATGTATCTTGTCAAGACAGGGTTTTGCCATGTTGTCTGGGCTGGTCTCAAACTCCTTGTCTCAAGTGATCCACTGGCCTTGACCTCCCAAAGTGATGGGCCTACAAGCATGAGCCACTGCCCCCAGCTGAGACTAGGTTTCTACTTTGCTATTTTCTATACCTTTCTTTTTTTTTTTTGAGACGGAGTTTCACTCGTTACCCAGGCTGGAGTGCAAATGGCGTGATCTCGGCTCACAGCAACCTCCGCCTCCCGGGTTCAGGCAATTCTCCTGCCTCAGCCTCCTGAGTAGCTGGGATTATAGGCACACGCCACCATGCCCAGCTAATGTTTTGTATTTTTAGTAGAGACGGGGCTTCACCATGTTGACCAGCATGGTCTCGATCTCTTGACCTCGTGATCCACCCACCTCGGCCTCCCAAAGTGCTGGGATTACAGGCGTGAGCCACCGCGCCCGGCTTCTATACCTTTCTATTTGTTATCTGACCATCATCAATAGGCAGCAGTAAATATTTCCCTCTCCCCTCAAATGAACCTCACTGTCAACAACTCATTCTGTCTGTCCAGATCCAAGTTCCCAGGGAAGGAGACTATACCATGTCGGACTCAAGGTCGTAGTCATCGCTGTTGCTGTCACCCCCCTCCCAGCGCTGAAGCACCTTCTCTTTGTGTTCCCCATTCACTTTCGAGTTCATGGCAATGGCTGAATCGGTGAACTTGTCTGTGGGGGCAGAGGTGAAGATCAGGAGTCAGGCCATATTTCACAGACGTCTTTCCAACATCCCCTAACCCCACTCCCCACAAGTTGTTCAGGAGCAAGAAGTTTAAGAAGCCCAGAGTATGTGTGCCTATGTGTCAAGATGGCCAGCGGGTAGGGAGGCAAGAGAAAAAGTACAAAAAGCCTATCAAGATTATGATTCCAAAGAAAAAATAAGTTAAAAACTAAGAAAATAGGAAGAACCGCAACACAGACTGGAATTCATCCCATTATGTATTAGACATCAAGACATCCTTTTAAGAAGAAAAATCCAGCCACTTCCCTCAGAAAAAAAAAAAAGGCATTAAGGCAAAAAAAACGAAAAAACCCAAACACATCTACATGTTCCACCTGCACGCAAACTGCCCTCTATGCACACAGAGCAGGTCTGAGGTAACAGCCTAGGACAGTACCTTTAGTAGCATAGTTGAAGTCAACATTTCGGAAGTGAACGAGCATGACATCACTTGGCTTAAAGACCATGGTGTCCACAATGTCCTCCCGACGAGGGCCACCTGCTGGCTCAGATGCTTTCCGGTGCACAGCATCCACTGCTAGTTCAAACTACAAACGCCCCATTCCCCACACCCTAGGGTCAGTTTCAAGAAATGTGAAGGCAAAAATAGCACTAGCTTTCTCTTATCCTTCCCAAACTTTTCATGACACCACATCCTCAATATGCTTGGAACCAAGTGCATTGTTTTCTCAACATGAGCCACAGGACTTAGCAAAACTCACAAAAATTTAAACTTATTTAAAACGTTAAAGTACCCAGCCCTCAAATTTATCTTTTTTCCCTGCAGCACTATTCAGAACAGGCCTACAGAAACAACTAAAGGCATAATCTGACACCACCCAACTGACACCTTCAATGAACCTATTTCTTTCTCCTCCTCTGCAACTCCAAAAATCATCACATTTGAGTACACTGACCTTTGAGCTTAGCGTCTTGAAGATACCCTCGTAGGTGGTGCCATTTTTCACCTTTACATCACAAGTGGAGCCCTGATAGAGAAGGAAAGGTAAGAGTATCTCCAGAAAATGGATGCATTACGTTCCTTAACCCAGGAGTTAAGTACCAACTTACCACAACAGCTGTAAGGAAATGCAGCATTCTGGAATTGTTGTAGACGCCTTCAAACACCTGTCAGTTAACACGAGAGAAAGAATTAAAGGAATAACCAGTCAACACCTCACTTTCTTTTCTAAATGCACACACTCTACTCATTCTGCTTTGTGTGTGCTGGGCCCACAGCCCTCCTGAGTATACCAGACTCTCTCTAGACCTAATGTGCCCTAAATTCCCACATTATGCATTGTTTAGGTCCATGTATCTTAAAGAGGGTGGGAGGAGACACTCACAGGTGACTGTGGGGGTCCCTTTCCTGTGCTCTGTCCCCTATAAGAGAAACAAACAAGAAATTAGTTATTTAAGTCTGTTCAAGCCTTCTTAGATCACTATGAAATTAATGTTCAATTCCAGAAGCATATACCACTTAAGGATGCTGATTTAGACTACAAAATCATTAATCAGTAAGATTTTTTTTTTTTTTTTTGAGAGGGTCTCCCTCTGTTGCCCGGGCTAGGGTGCAGTGGCACAATCTCAGCTCACTGCAGCCTCAACCTCCCAGTCTCAAGTGATCTTCCTGCCTTGGCCTCCAGAGTAGCTGGGATTATAGGTGGGCGCCACCACTCCTGGCTTTTTTTTTTTTTTTTTTTTTTTTTTTTTTTTTTTTTTAAG